GTTTTTTTGGGCAAGTAACATTGATGAAAATGAGTGAAATTTCTTCAGCCCAACACCCAGTTGCTGCTTCTATGATTGCACCTTCAATTCCTAATAAGTTTTCGAAGACTCGCTCTATTTTGGCTCTTTGTTGGAGGGAGATTCAGGGGTTAAACAACTGGGAAAATCTCATGGAACCCTTGGATCCTCTTCTCAATCAAGAAATCATCCGGTATGGCGAGTTCGTCACGGCCTGTTACAAGGCTTTCGATCTAAATCCAACCTCAAAACGCTTCCTCAATTGCAAGTATGGGAAGAAGAGAATTTTAAAAGAAGTTGGCTTGGGTGATTCAGATTATGAAGTCACAAAGTACATCTATGCCACTCCTTATATCAACATTCCAATCCAAAACAGTGCCTCCTGTGGCCGTTGGATTGGTTATGTTGCGGTATCATCGGATAATGAGGTTAGGAGGATTGGGAGGAGAGATATAGTGATAACATTCAGAGGAACAGTTACAAACCCTGAATGGATTGCAAACCTAATGAGCTCATTGACTCCGGCACGACTCGACCCACATAACCCTCGTCCTGATCTCAAGGTATGTTTACACTGAAAAATATAAATTCACGACATAACGACACTTGACTTGTCACTCTAAAATATTTATTCATGTGACAACGAAACGTGACTTGCCGAATCTAAAATTTTCCCATTGTGACCAAACAGGTAGAAGCTGGGTTTCTGAGTATGTACACTTCTGATGAGAGTGACAGCAAGTTTGGCCTCGGTAGTTGCCGTGAACAGCTTCTTTATGAGGTTTCTCGGCTTTTGAACAAGTACAGAGGGGAGGAAATGAGCATAACTTTGGCAGGACACAGTATGGGGAGCTCATTGGCCCTCTTACTGGCTTATGATATTGCAGAGCTTGGATTGAACAGAGCCGATAACAGGGAAATACCGATTACTGTTTTCTCCTTCGGAGGGCCTAGAGTTGGGAATTCAAGCTTCAAGGAAAGGTGTGAGGAGTTGGGTGTAAAAGTTTTAAGAATTGTGAATGTTAATGACCCAATAACAAAGCTACCTGGGGTTTTTTTGAATGAAAGTTTTAAGGGTTTTGGAGGGAGTTTCGAGTTTCCTTGGAGCTGTTCTTGTTATGCTCATGTGGGAGTTGAATTAGCCTTTGATTTCTTCAAGATGCAAAACCCTTCTCTTGTTCATGATTTGGAAGCCTATATTAGCTTTCTTAGATGCCCTAAGGCACTGCAGGTTCAGAGGGAGGGCTTAGATTTCCTAAATAGAGCGAAGGATTTAATCTTGAGCGCCAAAAACTTAACAGTATTCCATGGAGGAATGCTGCCATCAATATGGTGAACTTGTGTCATACTCAGAGGACATGATATAATTGATAACAGCATAGTCATATGCACGATTAACATGGAACTACAGCTTTGTATATCTTTTTGAATGGATGGGTTCATAGTCATACTTCATCCATTACCTTTGAAGTTCATTTATGAATCTATAACCTCAGAAAAAAGACGCTATGAGGTTACTTCTGCAGTTTTATGATGCATATATGAAGAACCAATCTTCTTCTTTTTTTTCCACTAGTGGGAGCTAGAATTTGTTATAATGATACAACATATCTTCCAATGAATTTAGCGCTCACTATATAGAGTTCAAAGTATGTCTTGTGATGTTAAACTTGTGAGGAATTGGGTGTAAAAGTTCTGAGAATAGTGAAAGTTAATGACCCAATAACAAATCTTCCTGGGTTTTTCTTGACTGTCGTTGGAGTTGAAGGGTTTTTGAGTGTCCTTGGAGTTGTTCTTGTTATGCTCATGTAGGAGTTGAACTGGCCTTTTATTTCTTCAAGATGCAAAACCCTTCTTGTGTTCATGATTTGGAAGCCTATATTGGCTTGCTCAAATGCCCTGAGGCACTGCAGGTTCAAAGGGAGGGCCTGGATTTCCTCAACAGAGGAAATGATTTAATCCTGAGCGCCTAAAACATTAGCACAATTCCATGGAGAAATGCTGCTGTCAATATGGTGAACTTGGGTCATACTCAGAGTACATGATAGTTGATAAGATCATAGTTACAGGTAGGATTAACATGACAGTCTTGTACGTATTTCAAAGTATGCATCCCTTTTTGAATGGATGTCAAGAAGAACCAATCTTTCTTTCTTTTTATTTTTTTGCAGTACTAATGGTAGCTTGAATTAAGAACACTGATACAACATATTTTCCAATGAATTTAACGTATCCTAAGCGTATTCAAAGTATCTCTTGTGATATAAACTTCTTCATCTATGTAGCAATTGATGCTTATTGCCCAATTACAGTTCAGAGAGATGTCGCGACCAATGCATTTTAGTACATTAGAGTCCATGACAGATACTGTGACTTTGAGCCAAATGACCATGCACTGCGGATGACCATCAAGATCTACCAAATAGTTTGATAAGAAGAGTCATCAATGCTAGCTCCATATACTGAAGAAAAATAGGGAATATTTCACTGATATTATATGGTCAGCGTTAGATCAGAATTCGGATTTTTAAACATAATAGATTATAATCAATGTTGTTTTGACCCGATTATTTGGCTTAATCCATTGCCCAAATTCATTGTAATAATTGAATTATTAATGTACCCTATCTAACAAATGGGATTTGTTGCTTATCCAACGACTATAATAAATTGGGTAAGTAAATTAGGTTTAAAAAATTAAGTTCAAATAACCTTACTCATAAATAACACAAAAGTTTCATCATGCAGATTATTTCTATCTTGCAAACAACTTACAGAATTTGCCAAATAATAGTTATTTTATTACAGTTTAGAACTTTGATAAAATGTTCATTTTTCACTTAAATATACTTGGTATATCTAATTCTCTCCATATTCTGCATTGTGATTTTCTACAAAACAAGGAGTGCTAAGAGTTATTCCCATAACGCTAAAAGATACCTTCTAAATGAGTTCTCCACACCTCTCCACTCGTTCTCAATTCAGTTTGAGCTGAAAGTTTTATTTTGGTGTCAAATCTAGGTTATGTAGCTGTGGATTTTTCCTTTGCTCGGGCCGTACAAATAATTTTTTTGGGTAAATAAGATTATTCTATTACTCCAAAAGGACATATGCCAAAGTATATGTACATTCTGCAGAAGAAATCAAAAGGAAAGAAAAATAGTAAGAATGGAAAAATAGATGAATTTTTCTTTTAACTCACCAAAATCATTCCTTCCAAAATCGGAAAAAAAGTAGAAGAAAAATTAATTATTTGTGTTAAGATGTATCTTATTTATCTATTTATCTTTTATATATACATATATTATGTTTCATATAAAAATACAATGATAAAATATATATTTATATATATATTTTAAAAAAATTAAAAAATTAAAATTTTAAAAAAATATTTGTTTCATCTTAGTTAGGGTGAAAATTTTCAACTCAACACGATAACACGACTCGAACTTGACACGAATTTTATGACACAAATTAGATTATAACTCGACAAGAACTTAAAAAAGACCTGACACGCGAACAAGAAATATAAACGGCTCATATTCAGTTTAACCCGTCAAATTCAAAATTTACATCATCAACCCGTTTATTTAAAAATAAACACTTTATCTATTTTTTCGTTTGTATGGTAACACGAATATAACACTAAACTAACATGTTTAACTAGTATTATAGACATAAAACACTGACCTAATTATTTGTTACTATTTATTAAGTACTTGACATAATTATTATATAAAAAAATATTTTTATTTATTATTATTTAAGGTAATTTTTAGTTTGTAGAAAAAATATACACATGAATTCAATTAAGTGAAAATAGAATATTAACATTAAATTTTTTATTCAAAATTTATGTGCGTTAACACGAACACAAACATGATACGAAAATAAATAGGTCAATTCGACACGACACAATTAATTAAATAAATTAAGTTAGGTATGACTTATGTTTAACACAAATCCGTTATAGCTCAACACAAACCTTCCTACCAAACGGAACATTACTATTGCAGATGTAACTTCAGGAGAAATCCATTGGTCACAAGGAGTAGAACATGGTATTCCACATCACAGGTAGTCGTGGCGTCGAGGATTACAGTGATGACCAATCGAGGTTTGGGTTAAACTGAGAAGAAGTAAAAGATCATTGTTGTACATGCATGCAAGGTTCCTTTAGTCATTTGCTTCATGCTCTCATGTAATGTAATTTGCATTATACACATAAACCCACAGTGGATAGGGATTCATTCTCTTCAAACAAGCCCCACACACTTGGTTTAATCATTTCACCAACTTTCTCCTCACTCGTGGGTTCGTGGGTTTCAATTTTGGTCTTCAACTGTACAAAGATTATTTTGATCCTAGCTATCAGTGCCTTTTCTGACTATTCACATTATTTTTCTGGTTGAAGATCAATGCACAAAAAAAATAAAAAATCACACAACGTATGACTTCATAAGCCATCCTATGCTGCAAGATGTCAAAATCTTCGGTTAAAGGTTATACCATGCCAAGAATACTGACGTGGTGTAACTATTTAATAAAAAAAACTACAAAATAGATAAAATGAGATTCATTTTCTATCCAATGATGAAGCAGCTAGTTCCAAGATGTTTGAAGAGGGTCCATGTATGTTTTATGGGAAACCAATTTTGCTGAAAAAATGGCATCCCAAACTTCGTATTGCCAAGGATTCACACTCCAAGATTCCACCGTGGATCAAGCTCTATAACATTCCACTGGAATACTGGAATAAAGAGGGATTAAGTCACATTGCTAGTGCAATTGGTAAGCCCTTATATGCTGATTCCCTCACTGAATCCAAGCAGAGGATCACCTTTGCCAGATTATTTGCTTAACTGGAAGCAGACAAGGAGGCCATTGAATCATTTGACCTTAATATCACTGTTGAATATTAGTGGAAACCTAGGATATGCACAGAATGCAAGGTGTTTGGACATAGTAACTCTAATTTTCCTATGGGTACAACTAAGAAAGAATGGAAACAGAAAACATCCTTAGGAAAGGGCAAAGGAATGGTTATTGAACCAGGTATAGAAGAATAGAATCAAGAGACTCTAAACAAATGCAGTACAAGTTCAAGTGACCCCCATCTTACACTGCCTGAGTCATCTCAACAAATTCAAAGGGAGATTCTTGTTCCTACAGGGAATATGAAAATCCAGGCTTCACCCATTCTTAAGGCCTCTATTAACATTGAGACTTGTAATAAGTTTGCTAGCCTTGTGGTTGATCTTTCTGGGATACAGGAGAACGTCATGGAGAAATCAGCTTCCCCGATGAAAAGCCTCCTAAGTAGCAAAGTGAAGAACATTGATGGAATTCCAATTGGTACAACTAGAATGAAGAAACAAAAACAAAAATCTCCTAACCAAGGGAAAGTTGGGGTTTCTGAAGCCCAGGGTAAGAGTTTACCCAAACCCAAATGATCAATCTATCTTGCTGAAATATTAGGGGTCTTAATTCCAACCCTAAACAAATGGAGATTAGGAAAATGATTTTTGAATAGCAGCTTGACATAGTTGGTATAGTTGAAACCAAAGTAAGGGCTGTTAATAAGGAAGTTGCCAGGAGAACAATCATCAGAGACTGGTGCTGGTGTGATAATTACAACAGTCGCACATTGGGTAGGGTGTGGATTGGGTGGAATCCTCAAAGCATCAGTGTACATAAATTTTCTAAAATGGATCAAGCTATTCATTGCAAGGTCACTCATCATGCAAGTATGACTTCATCTACACTTACTATTGTTTATGGTTCTAATGATGATATAGAGAGGAGAAGGCTTTGGAGGGACGTGAAGGGTGTATCAAGAACTACATTCAATGATCCCTAGATAATCCTTGGGGACTTTAATGTGGTTAGACTAGTTAAAGAAATTCTAGGTGGCTTAACTAGAAGGACCTTGGCCATGGATGAATTTGAAAATGTCATGCATGCAGCTGAGATCACTGACCTTAGATACTCTGGTGTTCAATTTACTTGGTGTAATAGTAGAGGTCCAGGCTGAACTGTTAGAAAATTGGATAGAGCTATGGTCAATGAAGCATGGATTCTAAAATTCTCAATGACAGCAACTAAGTTTCTCCGAGCTGGTATTTCTGATCATAGTCCCATTGTGGTTAAAATGGGAAAAGAGATCAAAGCTAAGAATTTCCCTTTTAAGTTCTTAATTTCATTACAGAGAGGGAGGATTTTCTTTCCATTGTTAGTAATGTTTGGCAAGCTCAAATTAGGGGAACTATTCAATTCCAAGTCAACCAAAAACTAAAGCTCTTGAAAGTTGGGCTCAATAAAATCAACAAGGAAAAAGTTGGTGATGTTACGATCAAGGCTATTGAGGCAAAGGAGCAACTTTCTGCTTGTCAAAGGCGGCTTAATACCACCCCCCTTGACCAATCACTTAGGATTGTTTAAAAATAATTGGTGGGTAAATGTTTTGAGGCCTTCAAGATTGAGGAAGATTTTCTAAGATAGAAGTCTAGAATCCAATGGCTAGCAGTGAGTGACAAAAACTCCTCATTCTTTTTCAAATCCATCTCAAGTAGAAAGAACAATTCCAAGATTATCCCCACACAAAGATAGGATGGGTCTTTCGCTAAAGGAGATAAGGAAATTAAAGATGAGGCAGTGGATTATTTCCAAAACTTGATGGGTAGGAGAAGCTCTCAGGATTCTTATAGAACTATCGCTATACGGAACATTTTGCAAAGCACCATTACAAGGGAGCAATCTCAGATCATTAGTAATGAAGTTACTGGGGCTGAAATTAAAGAAGTTTGATTCTCTCTCAATCCCAATAAGGCTCCAGGTCCTGATAGATTCAATGGGTTTTTCTTGAAAATGGCATGGTCAATCATTTGTGAAAACATTGTTGTTGCTGTTAAAGAATTCTTTGTCATAGGTCAGTTTCTCAAGGAATTGAATTTTACTATTATTGCTCTTGTTCCTAAAGTCCCTAACCCCACAAGCATGTTTGATTTTAGACCTATCTCATGTTGTAATACCCTCTATTAGTTAATCTCCAAAATCATAGCAAATACGCTTAAAATTCTACTTCCCTATGTAATCAACCCATCTCAAACTGCCTTCATAAAGGGAAGGAGAATAGGGGACAATATTCCTCTGGCCCAAGAATTGCTAAGGAGCTATCATTAGAATGATGGGCCATCCAAGTGTGCGATCAAGGTTGATTTAATGAAGGCTTATGACATGGTTGAGTGAGATTTCTTGCCCGATGTGCTTTCTGCTCTTAATCTTCCCAGAATAGTGGTCAAATGGATTAGTGAATGCATTACTACTCCCAAGTTTTCTATCAATGTTAATGGTGAATTGGCAAGGTACTTCCCAAGTGGTAGAGGTTTTACACAAGGTGACCCAATTCTCATTATTTATTTGCAATTATGATGGAAGTGTTGTCAAGAATTCTTGAGCAAAGGCATTCAAGATGAGCTTCAGTTCAAATATCATTGGACATGCAAAAGACAAAAGATTGTCCAACTTTGCTTTGCAGATGATTTAATCATGTTATGCCATGGGACCCCAAATCAGTTGAAGTTCTTAAGGGGCTCTGGATAAATTCCAAATGTTATCTGGCTTAAAGGCTAATCCTTCCAAGAGCCACATCTTCCTTTCAGGTGTTCAAGAAGAGCAACAACAGTTGATGGTAGTGTGTTTCGGTTTTCCCATTGGTTGTCTTCCCATGAAATATCTAGCGATCCCTATTATTACGACTAAGCTCAAGTTGCAAGACTGCTCTTTGTTACTTGAAAAAGTGAACTCAAGGATAAATTCTTGGGTTAATAGAGCTCTGTCTTATGCTGGGAGACTCCAGCTCATTAAATTTGTGTTATGTAGTATTCAGGTTTATTGGGCTAGTCATCTTATGCTTCCTAAGAAGATTCTCCATGCTATTGATTAGAAACTAAGATCATTTTCATGGTCTAGAACTGAAATGAAAACAAAGGGGGCCAAGGTTGCTTGGAGAGAGGTATGTGAAGGAAGGGGGCTTAAGATTGAAAGATTTAAGGGCTTGGAACAAAGCCCTCATGCTCAAGCATCTCTAGCACTTAATTTTTGATGAGAATAACACTCGTACCAGCTGGACCAAGGAGCACCATCTTAGAGGCAAGAGCATGTGGGAAGCCAAATCACCACAGGTCTGTTCATGGAATTGGAGGAAGTTACTGCAAGTCAGGTTATTACTAAGACCTTTCATTTTTCATGTTATTGGAAAATGGTAGGAATACATCTCTCTGGTAGGATTTTTGGCATCCTAACGGACCTCTCCTTCTTAAATGGGGTCTCAGAGTAATTTATGATACTGGGATCTCTAAGAATGCCAAGGTTGCTTCCATTATCCAAGGATACTAGTGGAGCTGGCCTTTAACAAATCCTAAAAACTCTAGAATTATTGATTAGATCATCTCTACTATGCCCAATTACTCCCCAACAATTGAAAATAAGGATGAGATCAAATGGCCTCCCCAAGTTAATGGCAAATTCTCTACTTCTTCCGCTTGGAATCAAATTAGGAGCCAAAAACCAAAGGGGATGTGGTACCATCTTCTTTGGTTCAATCTATGCATTCTTGGGGCCAACTTTATCCTTTGGCTTGCTATAAGGAATAGACTGGCCAAAAACGACAGAATCTATAGTTTTACACCCAACATTGGAACCAACTGTGTACTTTGTAGAGCTGATCAAGAATCCCACTCCCATCTACTTTTTGAATGCACATACTCAGAAAGAGTTTGGAGGAATGTCATCAGTAAGTGTGCTTGGCTATAGCAATCTTCTTCTTGGCAGTCTCATTGAGGCAATGTCCACCCAATGGAAAGGCAAGCATCTATAGAATTCCATTAGAAAACTATGTCTTGTTGTCACTGTATATGTTATATGGGGAGAAAGAAATCGTAGAATTTTCACCAATGAGCATAAAGATCCATGCACTACCTAGATGATGGTTTTGAATATGGTGAGAAGTAGGCTTCTCTCAACCAAAATGAAGGACATGCTTCTTCATAGAATGACTGTTTCTTCTTGGCAACTTCCAAGCTCTTGTTTTTGCACATGATGTATTTTCGGTTTCTAGTTTACGGGCTTTGTAATCTTTGGGGAGTGCACGCCCCAAACTTCCTCTGCCTGCTTTTGATGGATTGATTGTAGTGTGTTGCAGTCTTAGTCCATGTTTGTTTGCTTTGTTTCTGTATCCCTTTTGGGATTGAAAGTTGTTGTGTGCATTTGCATATTCTTCAATGCATCCAAAAAAAAAAAAAGATTCATTTTCTATCATGGAGGTAGTTATGTATTATATGACTAGGTGGTTTTGTATTGCATGACTAGGTGGTTATGAATTTTTATGGGGCCTATTTGTTGACTTGTTTACTTATTAGTGGATGGTTACACTATGTGACACTATTGCCGTTGTATAACGGTGATACTAAATATTTTCCCAGGGGTTGTTTAAACTATAAGGACTCTTTTAGTTCCCGTATTGTAAAAGAATTGATTGTATTAGGAAATACAAACTAATTTTGTGTAGGTGGATAAAATATAAGATTAAATATGAGACAAAAATATTACACATTATTATCCAGTATTTGGTGAGACACTTGATTATGAGATAATAGAGTAACAATTACATATCGACTAAACAATCATCAATTATGTAGAATTATTAATGTTTTTGTTTATCTATTGAGTGAAAAAGTAAATTTATAATTTGATACGCTTGAATTGGATTGTAATACCACCTTCCAAAGTGCTATTATAATCGGCTTAATAGTACGTATATAATATATTAATTGGATAAGTAGTGTATTATTTGGATAAGAATTTGAAATAAGACTATATATAATACAGAGTGGGCTTGTTTGATTGTCGTATTAAAAATGGATAGATTGGATAAAAGAATTCAATCTAATATAATAAAGATTGGACGAAAGACAAAATTAAACGGGGTATTAGAATAATACATAATTTTATTTGGTGTTTGACAATACACAATATAAACTTTGGACAATGGTTATTTAATCTAAATCGTTGTTTGGTTAGGAAATTATTTTATCTTATTATTGTTGAATTAACAAAAATACCCTAAATCAGTTTTTTTAACGTTGATTATAGCTTGGTTTTATTAGTTGTGAGATTATACATACATTTGAGTTGGATTATAATACCACCTCTCCTGGTGGTATTAAAATACCTCCATAAAACAGGTGTATGGTATAAAAAATATACAATAAGTGTACGATCATATACGTTTTTGAAATTAACACGGTGTCAAATTTGTCTATCAAACAAAATATTAGACCTGATTAAAATAAATAATAGTAAAATCTAATATTTAATCCACTAATGATACGTCTACCAAATGAGTCCAATATTTTTTCCAACCAAATGTTGAATAAAGTTGGATTAGAAAGTTTTAGTCTGTTATGACTCTGTAATCCACTCTTTTATAATGCAATCAAACCACCCCCATGTGTTAAAAAAAAAAAAAGAATTGATATCTTAGCTGCAATTTTTAGGCTAGCTTCTTGCTATACACTTATGACATCAAACTTATTGCTAATTAAAGAAGAGTAAAGTGTTTGTGAGTCACCTCAGTTTAGTTTTAATTTCTACAAGTTGTGAAAACCTTACAGTTTCCAGTAAGCATTGCATATATACATGAAGAAAATAACACTATGCTTAATTCTAAACTCAGTGTGAACATTGTTGGTCAATTCATTTTATGCTAAACACCATCATATCCACATAGATCCTTGGAAAAATTTTAGAGCATCTAAAAGAAACATTTCCTTTGTCCTTATTGTATGGAAGGTGACAGCTAGTCAAGGCAACAAGTTATACCAATGAGAGTTAGGACTAACATTTATCAATGATAAAAAACGACAACGACGAACGTGAGATTCTTTTGTTTTCTTAATTGTAAGCAAAAAGACACTAACATGGATTGCTTTGCAACAAAATAGGTAAAGAAAGAAGACTACCAGTAATGAGAAAGAACATTGTTGTGTATCTTGTGAATGTATTGTGCGTTGAACAATGAAAAAGGGAAATAAAAACAACCAACTTGAGACTTCAAGTAATTCAGTATAATTCTATTGATGTTTACGAAAACAGGTGTTAGACACAAGTTGAGAATCCCAATTCATATCAATCATCATATAAACTAATGCTCTGTTTGGTAGGGAAGATGGAAAGTAGGAAGGATGAAAAGTAGAAGGGATACACTTTCTATCCTTCAAGGATGGAAAGTAGGAAGGATATACTTTCCTTCATTTGTGATTGGTTGGATGGATGAAAAATAAAAATAACTATTTTTTTTAATTTTTTTTTTTTGTGTTGGCTAAGATTAGGGGTGACAATCAAGTCGAGTCGTGTCGTGTCAGATTCGTGTTAAGTCATTAGGAGTTTGTGTCGAATATTAGTTAAACCTAACTTAACTTATTTAACTAATTGTATCGTGTCGAGTTGCGAGTTGACCTGTTTATTTTCGTATTGAGTTCAAATCGTATCATCGTGTTGAGTCTAAAATTTTCACTTTTAGTTAAGATGAAAAAAATATTTTTTTTTAATTTTTAATTTTTAAAAATATATATACATTTTTTACCATTATATTTTTATATGAAATTAATGTATACATAAGATATATAGACAAATAAGATACATCTCAACATAAATAATTAATTTTTCATCCGATTTTGGAGGGATTAATTTTGATGAGTTGGAAGGAAAGTTAATCTATCCATTTTTCCATCCTTCCTACTTTCCTT